TCATTGCAGTATTAGTCTAACTTGGAGCAATTATTCTCTTTGTCTCACTGGCTTTTATAAATACTTATTTTTGTTAGAATTGGGCCTCAACAGTTCAAATTCTTGGACAGTAGGCCAAAGAGAGCAGATTTTATGAATATGCTTTATTGTGGTGACAATTTGATTTCCTCATGGTTTTTACAGTTCTATAGCAAGCATTTTTGTTTGTTTATATATAGTATTTATGTACCGTTGGGCTCAGAAAATGATTTACATTGTAAAGATCAATAAAAAGACAAATCTACCATAAAATATGAAATGCACTGATCACTATCCATCCCCCAAAGTCCCTCCAATGATAATATTGTCTTTAATCATTGCCAGAAGGTCAAAAGGGGCACCAACTAATCTCCAGAGTACAAATAGCCCTCAGTTTATGACCAGTTGCTTAGCAACTGTTTGAAGTTACCATGCTCCCTACTAGGGGGCTACTTAAGACCCAGATTCAAAATTCTGGTATTTGTGTTGTCGTCCCCCCCCCCCACCATGGCCATGTGACAGACTTTGGACAATAGAAGGAACTAAAGACTTTAGTTAAAGAGAAAAATACACAAACCTGATTAACAACTTAATTAACTGGGTCTCATAAAATGACACAAAACATTGTAACATTGAAAATATTGAAGGACACTTTTGAAAAATGGAATCAGAAGTTAGTATCAACACTGTCAACAGCAGTGTTTGTTTCTGTGGATAGATTATGTCCAAAAGGTGTTATGGAAGAAATGGCAGGTGAGGAACAAGTTTTACTGGATCAGACAAAAGATGGCATTTAAAGTGGATCCACAAATGACAGGCTATAAGAATGACATGGAAAACAATGTCTCACTGGAAGCACAAAACAAATCACATATTTAAAAATTCTAGAAGGAAATACAAATAATAAATCAAGAAAATGACCTGGATATTTTTATTTTTTACACTGGATTTACAACTGAGGCGTGTTAAAGCTTTGGAAAAATCTTGTGAGAAGGGACAAAGAAAAAAATGAAAAGAAATGAAGTTCTATGATATTATTTGAATAGACTAAAGTTTAAGATTGTTAGAAGTAAAAGGAAGGTATATAAATTTGGTTTATTTGATCAAAGTTAAATATAGTTATTTCTGGAAACTTTTAATGGACTTTCTTCTGACACTAAAATTGAAAGTTGATGCATTATAGATTTGTCTGCAGAAAAGAGATGGGATATGAGATGAAGGGATTGCTGTTGTAAAACTAAGAGCTTTTTTTGGGGTGGGGGAATTGTTTATAGTTGAATTGACGGTTGGAAGTCATTTCTTTTATAGATTTCTCTTTCTTTAATACCTTTTTTACCTTTCTTTTTAATTGTCTAATGTACTTTTTCTTTTGCACCTTATTCTTTTCTTTCTATGCTTTTTTAGTTTGTATTACTAGTGTCCATAAAATATTTAATAAAATTAATTATATAGGGATGGAGGGAGAGAGAGAGAGGGAGAGAGAATATTTTACTGTTGACAACAAATTCAACAATTTTCCCAAGAAAAGGAAAGCTGGAGATGGGATAATATTAGCAGTAAGAGAATTATGTTATCCTATCTTTATTCCTGGAGATTTCCCAAAATACTAACTTTATTTCATAATTTTTGAAAAATTGATGACTGAATATATTTCATAAACAAAGTTGTGTCAGATATACTAATATGCCATAGCTGCTGTTTCTTGCAATGCTACCTTGCTTCTTGTTTGTACATTAAATTATTACCTATGATAGTTTTTCTTAACCATATTCAAAGTATGACAGTAAGTGGATGCAAAACTTCTCTGTCACTGCTTTATGTTTAAGGAAGGTTTTGAAAAGCTAAGAATAGCATTGCTTTATTGCATTGCTAGTAGCATAACAATAATTTGATTCTGCCTTTTCTCTGTTCAATAGGATCATATCTTTTGAACCTCATTTTCTTTGACTTTTCTTTGACTTTCTTTGACTTTCTAGTGAAAATAAAAAGAATATGATTCTTCTTAATAAAGGACAGTTTTATCATTTTAAAATGTAAAGCTGAAGTAAAAGGCTAGCTTTGCACTGTAGGTGGAACTCAATGTTAGTTTGGGACTATTTATTTATTTTGATGTCCAGAGATTCAGTGAAAAAAGAGAATTATTTTTGCATCAAAATGATACCCTTTAATGTCTTTTCTTCTGATTTTAAATTATGTTCATAACTTAATAGGGTGAGGTGGATAATATTTGTAGTGTTAGTAACTGATCAGAGCTTTTAATTAAGCTATAGAATGAGAGGACACTTGACTGTTGCTTATTTAGAATAGTTGTATTTTACTTTTTTAATCCCTTTAAGCTCACTGAAACCTGAAAACTCAGAAGATTTAATGGTGCCCTCTTCAAGGGTGACTGTGAAATCAAGAGTTCAAATTTCTAAAATTCCTGAAATCCCCAAGAGGAAAGAAATCAGGGAGAGTGACAATCATCAGCTCAGTGGAACAAATATAAGATTATTTCACAGTAAATTGTGTTTTCTCCTCTGAATAATGGCTGAAAGACTGCTGGAGAAAAATTGTCTTGCCAATCTGCTTTTTATATCTTCATTTGATTTGATGTTATATATAAATACTTGCTTTCTTGTCTTGAGTGCAAAGTGGAAGTCAGAGGACTGAGGTGAACTTAAGACAATCAGAATCCATCCATAGAAGAAAACTCTGTATTTCTGAACAAGAGCATGTGTTCATTCTCAATAAGTAAAATTAGAAATTCTATTTTGCAATAGTGTTTCTTTAACTTTAAACCTCATGATATAGAATGATAAAGAATAAAAATAAATTCAGGTGTACATCTTTAGGATAGGATATAAAATGAATTGGACAGAGGGTAATTACTTATTTCATAGTGAATAAGCATTTCTGCATTTCAAAAACTCTTAGAAAAACAAGATTTAAAAGTATATATGTATATATGAGTTTTAAAAAATATGTATTTTCTTTGGATTTGCACATAGGCCTTAGATTTAGTCAACCCATTAACATGAAAGAGCTTACAAACAGAACAGACAGCAGATAACGAAGCCTTCCTATGTTTGTATTTCCTATAGGAAAGAAGAAAATGAATTAGCTGTTTGAAATAATATATGATGTCTTCTCTCCCACCCCCAACAAAGAATAAAAGGCACTGCTCTTTTCTTAATTTGTAAATAGCCAATCCCTTTTTAAGTTGCTAGCAAAGGCTGTTAATAGGCATGGACTGAAGGACAAGTGTCTGCATTCCCCTAGGAACTGCTGTCTGGACCCTAAGGCACCTCTTAGATGAGATGAAGCTTTGATAGCAATAGCAATGGCATTTAGACACACCATAATGCTTTACAGCACTTTCTGGGCACTTTACAATGTAGAGCAGTAGTTCTTAATCTTTTCTTCACCATGGACCCCCTTTAAATCCCTTTTGTGGCCACGGACCATGGCCACGGACCAAGACTCAATTTAAAATTTAAATTATAACATTGCTTCAGGACTTTGTGGACCCCCCTGTGACCTCGCAGACACCTAAGGGTACAGGATACCACAGGTTGAGAACCCCTGATATAAAACATCAGTTTACCAACCTTGGAAGAACGGATGGATGAATCAACCTTGAGCCCCGGGAGGATTGAACTCCAGACAGAGTTTGCCTGCAATACTGCATTTTTAAACAGTGTGCCACAAGGGCTTCTTCTAATCCGCACCAATTAAATGCAGGTGGGAGAAAAAGGAGATTGAAGGTTCTACCTCAGCTTCTTTCTATCCATGCTGCTTCTCATCTGCATCTTCCTTTGGGTCTTAGGTTGGGTGAAGGCATGCGACAAAGAAGGAATAAGAGTATAAGGCTTCTGGTGTCTGTAGGCCTCAGGGTAACTTTCTCCTCCTCTTTATGGTGCTATTTGAATGTTCCTGAGTTACATTAGGAAGTTTCTGGTTCAAGAATGTGCCTGAACTGTGAGCAGTTTCTTACCTCTGTCTTATTAGTTTGGCTTAAGAAGGAAGATTGCTTCTTTCTTTTATTCCAGTGAAATATGTCTAAAGTTGGTGTAATGATTATATAAGCTATTGGATAGATCCAGCTTCAAGTCCCCACTTGGTCTGAGTCCAACTTATCTTTCAGGTCTCGGGATATAAAAGGAGAGAAGACTACAAATACCAGCCTTGACCTCCCAGAGGAATAATTTAGGCCAATTAAGGCCAATGATTAGTAATAAAAATTGTTTTTAGATTTTTACTTTATATTCCTCACTAGTACTGATCTAGAGAAAAAAGGAAAAGTGTAAAAGGAATTGAATTGGTTAAAAAAAGAAAAAGCAGAGCAATGTGAAAGTGGTTTTCAGTGCAATATCTGCATTATTCCTTGTTTCAAATTTGGGAGATGCATTAAGCCTGTGGCAGTACTCTATGTGAACCTCACCACTGGGAGAAGAGAGTACAAGGCCACCCCTTCCCATCATGGCAAATGTCCGTGGGAGCATTTACTTGATATTGAATAAAAGCAGCTTGGAAGTCTAGACTGGTTCCTAATGAATTGTGATTAACAGAGAAGAAAACCTAAAAGTAACGAAATTGGGAGAGGGGAGACATTTTTTAAAAGCTGCATTGAATTAAATGTACATGTAAACAATTTCCATACTTGGGCAAAATCAGATTTCAGATGTAAAGCGTAGCTTTTTAAAATTTGTTCCATTTGAACGCAATAGCAGGCACTCTGGAAGCAATATCCTAGTCTTTTTCCATCAAAACACAAACATACGTTTAATTTAATTAAGGAAGCATATGTGTGTCTAATGAAACTGCTGTGGTTTTTAATTCTCTATTATGATAATTCTTTTAAACTTTAATCTTTTGCTTTATAATACCTGTACTGAATCCAGCTGCTTTTTATTCATTTTATTTATGCTTTTTATTTAATATGTCAAAACTATGATAATTGTCCTTTGATGTCTAAGTGGTCTTTCTTAATTTTGTTGCAGCGGATATTCAACTCCTTTGTGTACACAGAAAAAATCTCAAATGGAGAAAGTGAAGTTCAACAGGTAGGAAAGTGTTGCTTAACCACCAATTACTACAATAATACATACTTACACCAATTTTTTTTTCATAATGTCCTCTCCTAGGTCTATATATTCAATAGGGTTCTTTCCCCTTGTTTGTTTGCTTTTTTCACTTCATTATGTTAGATTGCTAATTTATAAAAGTTTCTGTTGAGATTTGAATATATTGTTGCATTAGACAATGGTGATGGATTCCTGAAAGTGTTAGACTGAAAGTGTTTTTTCTTAACTGAATAGCATTGATGGTTGCAAAACATTTCATTTTAATGCTGGTGGTAATAATGTGTTCAAAGTAGTTCAGAGTTCTCCGGTAAAGTTTTTCTCCATCAAGAAAAGAGCATTCAAACCCCCTGAAGTGTAAATAAGACCAAGCCAAACAAAGACAGTTCATCTGGAAACACTTTCCCTTTCTTTTGCCTGTGGGGGGAAAGTGGATCAGAGAATGCAAGGAGGGGAGGGCCACATGAGTCCACAGAAAAGGACTGTTTTGAAACAAAAAGTCTGCAGGAAAAAAGCTTTAAAAAACCCAAAGAAGCAACTGGCTTAATTGTCCCCAGTCAATGCCAGAGGATGATAACACGGTTCTTTTTGGCTATGCTGATTAGGAGAGACATGGAAATATCTTGGGATTCTACTTTCTGAAACAGATGCCACTTTTTCTGTAAGTTGTGCAGCATATAGTACTTTTTCTAGGCATGTGTCCTTCAAGTGTCAAACTCCACTGCTACACTCATTGGATATGGAGAAGACCACTCTGGGTGCTTTTAACTGTCAAAATTTGCTCTACACACATTGCTTCTCCTGAACCACTTATTATATGTATAGATTGGCGGTGCAGTTGGACGTTGAAGGACACATGTTTGGTATTACTAATTTTCCATTAGACACATTTTCAAAAGTTTTTTCTGTAACTTCGTTAAAAGCAAATTCAGCTAGATTACTGCCACACAAAAAAGAATCCATAAGTTTTTTTAGAAGCCATTACAAAAGAGATTTATCTTCATATCCTTTGAGGTGCAATGGAAACTTTTTAGACATGTAACTGATAATTTAAATGGTTTATTGTAAAGCTTTTAATATAATTACGTTATCAAGTGTACTTTTTTGCCATTGGTTAAACCGATTGACCTTACACAAGATAATAAAGGAATTTGTAAAAATATATTAATTATTTGAAGAAGTCTAAGGTGGGCATTCATCTATCTTGCTCTTACCTACTCTATGGATAAACCTAGGTATAACACCCATCATATCTAGCCCTATGCCAGATATTGTAACTGGATAAGGTAAGAAAAATAGTATTTGTACTTGTAGTCTAGCACAGCTGGAGATGGGAGGAGAGTAGATTACTACAATTTCTCTTTTTTTTAAAGGTATTTTTCTTGTTTCCTAACAATTAAAAGGGAAAGAAAAGTCTAATTTGATAGTGATATAAAACAGAGAAACAAGCAAGAAGCATAAATAAAAACATTAAAGGATAACTTTCTACTGACACATTCTCTCTTTCCTTCCCTTCCATCCATTTCTTACAACCAGGACATTTATACACTTAACACTGAAGATAATTGCTTTTAAGTCCTTTCATCTGTTATTTTTTTATTGGTCTGGTAACTTTTTTCTTTAAAAACCTTGTGAGATGAGTTTAGGAGAGCCTGGAATGGGGGTGATGCAGCCACTCTGGCCTCTTAGTAGCTTTCAGTGCCATTGACCATGGTGTTCTTCTGGACCAGCTTTGTAGTTGGGAGTGGGAGGCACTTTGTTTGGTGGTTTCCTGCTTTCTCCTTTCTGGTTCCAGGCAATGTTGGTGGAGAAGGAGAGGTGAATTAAGGATGTTCCTCTGGGCTTGAGGTTTTTTTTTTACTCGCCTCTCGTAATACCTACATGAAATTTCTGGGGGAAATAATCTGATGGCATGGGGTTCAGTATCATCAGGATGCTGGTGATATTCAGTTATTCATTTCCATCACTAGATGAACAGATGAATGCTGTCGAAGTTTGGCTGACTGTCTGGAGGCTGTCAGGAGACGGATGGAGTGACTTTGACTTGATTCTGTTAACCCTGGCAAGTCACAGTGGCTTTGGATTTTGGGTCCCTCCAGCTCATCTTCTCAGATGGAACAGATTGGACATGCTGCCAGTCTCTTATATGTTCCATTTTATAGAATCTAGGAAGTGTGCCTTTTCCATAGCAGCCATTGCCCTGTGGATCATCTTTTCGCCTGAAATTTGGCATCCTCCCCCCCCCTTTTTTTTTAATCTTCCAAAAAGCACTTAAAATCTGTAAGGACAAGGTAAGGTTGATGAGATGAACTTGTGGCCGGCACCTGAAAGTTTAGCTATGGTGCCAAGGTTTTTTGTTTATTTGGTTAGTTTTAGTATAAGTGGTTTTAATATATTTTTAATTGCAAACAGATGCTACCTGTTTACAGGTAGTCCGGTGTCTAAATTTGGCTTCCTGTATAATATGTAGCAGCAGTCCTCAACCTTTCTGACTCATGGACTGGCAGTGGTGGCAGCAGGAGGAAGGAGATGGTTTCCTGCATGCAGCTAATCTCGTGCTTATGCAACTAAAGCTTTACGCTCGCCCGCTGCTTGTGCAACCTGGTTCCAAATGGGCCATGGACAGGTTCTGGTCCATGGCCCGGGGATTGGAGAACCCTGATATATAGGATAAAAGGGAGCCATTCCTGCATAGATTTGGTTAGACCTCTATAATAGGTCTATACCAGAGGTCTCCAAACATTGCAACTTTAAAACTTGTGGACTTCAACTCCCAGAATTCTCCAGACAGCTATGCTGTCTGGAGAATTCTGGGAGTTGAAGTCCACAAGTCTTAAAGGTGGCAAGTTTGGGGACCCTTGGTATATACTTTCAATTTTGCCGTTGCTACATTTTTCTCACTCTGGTCAACCAGTCTATTGTTGGCAAAGTTTCTCTTTTCTAATATTATACCAAATTTGGTCTTGCAGTTGTCAGCATACAGTAATTGTGATATTTTACATTTATGGTTTCTGGAATTATATCTAATAAAAATGTGTGGTTTCAGCTCAGAGTATTTTTTTTTCAGTACTTTCTTTTAATATAACCATTGTACTATAGATGATTAACTGTTCCCTTTTTGTTAACAACATTGTTAGGACATTTTCAACATTTAATGTTGTATGATTTGTCTATTTTGCTAATTAGTAATGGAGTTACATACCATTTATAAAATATTTTATATCAATTTCACCTTAAATATTTCAAGGTTTACCCATAGCTACCGATGCTGCTGCAACATTCTGAACAATTCTTGTTTCCAGATGATTTTCAAGAACAGACCTAGATAAAGAGTTTTGCAGTACCCTAACTAAGAAATGATCAAGGCATGAGTGGTTGCAAGCAAGGTCTTCCATCCAGGATTGGGCACAATTAGCACACTAAATGGAATGACGTAAAGATTTGTACTCATACGCAAGTGATATTCAGGCTCTTGATGAGCTGCTATAGTAGTTCAGGGCATGAAACAGACATTACAATTCTGGAGCACTCTGGAGGAAGACCAGAAGCAAATTTGGTCAAATCAAGAATGACCTCACATTTGCACCTACACTACAAGGAGAGTGAAATCTCTTATTTCCCCACTCTCCATCTTTACTGCATTGGAAGATTATGCCCTAGCGACCTTGTTAAGAGTGGCTCATTCTCTTTTGAAGACTAAACCCTTTTTGGGATTCATTCTGTTTCAGCATCAGAGTATTTTTCTCATAGGCTAATGTGATAGTTTTGGACAACAAAATCTGTTCATATGACTAATGGAGCCTTTGTGATATGATTTGAGATTCATTCTGTTCTGTAGATCCTATCTATGAAATAGATAAAAAATATTTTAAAAAAATATTTACCCATTACCTGCATTAGAGTGCTGGGATATATTTTCCATGTAGGAAGGTCAATTCTGAACTTTGTATAATAGAATTAGAGTTAACCATTATAACTACTAAGGATATTATACTTTCTGATCAACAAATTGATGAAGCCACAAAATGGTTTAGGGCAAGGATCTTCAAACTTGGCAAGTTTAAGACTTGTGGACTTCAACTCCCAGAATTCCTGAGCTAACATGACTGGAGGAGGAGTTCTGGGAGTTGAAGTCCACAAGTCTTAAAGTTGTCAAGTTTGAAGACCCCTGGTTTAGGGGAATAACGTACAAACCAGAATATTACATTGTTGCTTAGCAATTATAACATCATCCCTGAACACGTGTTATACTTCCTATCTGTTGAAAACACCAGTTGTATTCTTGCAAACAGGAGATGGACATGTCAAATATTGCCAATAAGTGGGCTCATGCATCGCTTTAGGATGTGGCGTGATTGTACCATGATTTATTGAATAAGACACAATAGTTAACTTCACATAACACTCTAAGTCAATATCAAATAAATCAGATTTTGAGCCAAAAATGAAATCAGAGCATTAGAAGAGACAGCAAGAGCCTGGGGGGAAAGTCTTTTTTTTTGCCAGGGAAAATGCCAGTTCCTCCCAGAAAAAGCAACTTAATGTAATCCTAATAAGTTTGCATGACAGAAAGGTAGCTAGGAAAATATGAACAGAAGTTTGAGGCTTGCCTCAGGGAATAAAATTCTTTTTATGTGCAGATCATCTTCTGTCAATAGGAAAAAAATTAACAAAAACACTTGTTGCTTAGTGTATAGATTGGAATAACCTGCTGTGGTCGACTTACCTTGGAGACATTGGTACAAAGCAGTTGCTTAAACTCTCATAACAGTTGTTCCATCCAAGTAGTGCAGCTCATAACAATGTCAAGTACTAGACATTTAAAAGGCTAATGTAGGAGCCTTCTAAAGGATGCATTAGAACCCACTGTTGTTTCTGTTGCAAATGTGTTAGAGTTCCTGCAGGACGGGTTGGCTAGAGGTCTCGCCCCCAATACCTTGAAGAGACAGGTGGCTGCCTTGGCCTCGGTGATTCTGGTCAAG